AAAATTAAAACTTAAACTTAATTAAATTAAATTTGAACTTTAACTAAAATTTAAAGTTTAATTAAAACTTAATCAGTTTGTTTTAAAAATAAAATAAATTAATTTTAAAATAGTAAAACAATTATTAAGCATTAGAAAATGAATAATAAAGCAAAAAAGCCCTTGCTAGCTTCCTACGGTAGCAAAGACGAGGGTGAGCAAATCATTAAATAATATAATAATTTTTAATTTATTATAAAAACCAAAAAGTAAAAAAAAAACAACTAAAATAATTAATAAGTAATAAAGCAAACACTTTAATATTTATTTTTTAAAAATTTTATTATTTTTATTTTTTAATAAAATTTTAAAAAGGGTAAAGAAAAAGAATCGAACTTTTAACCACATGGCCACAGTATGTTATTTTAACCAATTAAACTATCTCTACCTCTTTTAATTTGTGAATTTATTAAAAAAGTTGCTAGTATAGCAAGCGCTTGTTTTATACCTTCTTTAATAAGATTTAACTTTTATTTATAATATAAAATAAGTAGATTGCCAGTAAAAAATCTACTCAATCTAAAGCTTTAGCACCTAATAATTTTGATCCTCTTCATTGTATTTTTTTAATAAAATTATTTATGTTTTTTAATTTACATATTAATAAATTTATTATAATTAATGATTTTTTATTAAAACATTATTATAGACTAAGTAGTCTTTTTTAATTTAATCAAAATTATTTTTAAATTTAATTAAAATTCTTTTAGTAGCTTGCTAGCAATATATTATTTAAGAGCTATAATTTTATTAAGCCCTTCATTAGAAAGATGCTCATTTTTAATAATTAAATCTAAAACCTAAAACCATATTTTAAAATGAATTAATTGAGTAATTAATAAAGAATTAGATTCAAAATGTTTAATAATTAAAAAACAATCTTTTAATGATTGCACTTTAAACCATAAAACATTTAGATTATTGTTTCCTGCTTTAGCTCTTTTTAAATTATTATACTCCCAACTTCAAAGTAAGCTTGAATAAGATTTAATTGTTTATTCTTAGCAAAATTATTTGTCGCGACTAATCTAAATTCAGGTTTAACTATATTTAATTGTTTAATATATTCTTAAATTTTTTGTAGCAATATTAAAAAAAAAATGTAAACACACCGTCGCTGTAATTATTTATATAATCAAGATGAAAAATTATTTGTATTAGTTTAAAAAGTATACCTTTATAAGATATTTTTTTTTCAATGCTAGGTTAAACTATCCTAGTATAGGGCGGGCCATTAACCGCTTACAGACTCTTCACTGCCTACTCACTCCCCTTGAAGTTAAAATACTATTTTACCGCAATTCTCTTTTTCAAGGATGTTTGGGGAAGCTTTATTTTCATTGGCGTAATAATCTTCTAGCGACTTGCTTATTTTACACTCTTGGGTCTTTTGCTTTAAATAATAGTGTTCACGTATATTTATTTTCTTTATTTTCAAAGACTACGATTTTCATTATTTGAGAATTGGGAGTTTTATTATTGAGGAGTATGTCCTTTCTAGCTTACAAGAGATTCAGTGCTAATTCACTTTCATTCATAAAAATGCTCTTAGGCCCAGTTATTTTAATTCTTTTTTGTTCAACCTTACTTTATTTTAATTGTTTTATTACTTCAATTCTGTACTTTAATTTACTGATTTATCTAAGAAAAAAAGCACATGGTTTTTATTTAAAACTCAACTTCAATTGGAGAAAGATTAGTGTTTATACGCTTAGTTTATTTTTTTAAAGGTAAATAACAACTCCTTCATGTTGATTTGATAATAAATTTTTCAATTTTTTGAAAAAAATTATACGGTTAATATTCCCCAGTTAAGGGCGGCTCTCTTTAAAGCCTAATTCTACTACCAAGAACCTTGATAGAATGGTTGACTAATAAGGTAACATATGCTTTATTACCTAGCTCTAAAATAAAATAACTAAATTATTTTAGTTAATATTACCTTTATAATTAGAACGTAATTATTTTATTCATAATTTGAATAAAAATAAATTCTTTCATTTTCAAATTAACACTCACATTTTAAAAAAATAAATTTTATTTTTGATTTTACTATTTAAAATGTTTCTTTAATGAGTGGTGGTGGTTTAAATAAAAAGTGTATTATAATGCAGCCGCATTTTCTAACACGGCTACTCTGCGTTGACTTTTGAGATTTTATTTATTTAATATAAATAAATTTTGTTTAAAACTTAATTTAAATTATAGTTTAATTAAATAAATTATAATTATTAAAAAAAATTAGAAATAAAACTTATTTTAAATTAAAATAAATTCAACCCCAGTGACAGACAATTCTTAATGTTTAAAATATTATAATTTAAAAATTAAATTACTGTATAAAATTTAAATTTTTTGTAAAACTATAGTTGCGCAACAAAAATATTATTTTTTTTGTTTTTTTTTACAAATTAAAAAAATATAATATTTTAAAAAAGACTATTTCTTACTTAAAAAAACATAAGTTAAAATATTTAGTCGTTGGCCCTTTTCTTAATTTTAAAAATTTAAAAATAAATAATAAGGGTGCTAATTGTTTTTTATTTTTAATAAAATAATTTAATTTCTTAGCATTTAATTTTTAGCATGTAAACTAATTTAATTTGTGTACAGCTTCTATTAATTAATGAACCAATTGTTAATTTAGTTCATTTTGAAGAAAAAACTTCACCGGTACGTCTACTAATTACCGATTACTCGAAATTCCGACTTTATGAAGTAGAGTTTCATACTTCAATCCGTTTATAACTTTTTTTAATGTTTAGCTCATCCTTACGGTTTTGCATCATTTTGTAAAAGTTTTTGTTGCACGTTAGTAGCCCATTCCATAAGGGTCATAAAGACTTGTCTTGGCCCTAAATCAAGTTGTCATTATAACAACAGTGTTAAGTTTAAATTAACAAAAAGGATTGCGTTCATTTGTGGAATTAACCTAAATCCTCACGGTATGAACTGACGACAGCCATGCAGCACCTGTAATTTTAATTTGTAAATTAAAACAAATGTTTTAATAAAAAAAATTATTCAAGGAATGGTAAGATTTTTCGCGGGCAATCGAATTAAACAACATGCGCCACTTCGTTTGCTTCAAAACCGACTATTTTTTTTGATTTCACTTTTGCAAGTGTACTCGCAAGGCGGAATGGTTATAACTTTTGCTTAGAAATGATAAAAATATCAAAACTACCATTCATAGTTTACAGTGGAGAATACAAGAGTACCTAATTCTTTTTTTTGCCTCCACCCTCGTACCTCAACGTTAATCTTTATTGGAAAATTGCTTTCGCTATTAGTATTCTATTTAGTATCTCAGTATGTCGACACTACACTAAACGTTATATTTTCCTAAAATTAGATTCTATACTTTTTAAAAAATTATTAAAGTAAGTCTGCGTACCCTTTAAGCCTGATTAAGATGGAAAATTTAGCGCTTCTGGCCTTACCGAGTCTTCTGGCACCCATGGTAATTAAATTTATCATGCAATTAAATATTATTCTTTTCTACCTTTATTCATTCCAGCTTTAATTTTTCTAATTTCTTCTAATCCTTCATTTGTAAGATGAGTTCCTTTATCTATTAAATGAGCAATTTTACATCAATCTATAAAATCTAAATTTTTAATACCACAAATTGGATATTTATTAAAAAATGGTATAATTATATTTTTTATGTCAGCAAATTTACTTACCACTAAATATACTACTGCACCTCTAGTGTCTTTTTCAATTCTTCCAGAACCTAAATAATTAATTAATAAATTCATTAATTTAATATCTCTTTCATGTTGTGTGATTCTAAATCTTAAAGATACTCGAAAACCAATTTTATTTTCTGATTCTCTAACACTAACATCAAAATTACCTTCTCCACAAACAAACCCTGAAATTCAATTAGGGTTTTTAATATTGGTAGTTTCAATAATAGCTCTGTTAACTGGAGTAATTAAACTAAACTCTGATTTAATAGTATCTGAAACACCCAAATTCATAGAAGCTTTAATATTAATTATTTGTTGTAAACCATTTAAAGTTAAATGCTCATTTTTGTTAATTAATTCAACAACTTGTACAAATAATTTAAAATCAGCAGCTTTTTGAGTTAAAAGGGGATATGCTTTAAAATGAGGTATTATAATAGTTGTTAATTCATTAATGCTATTTACTGAATATCTTAATGCATTAGCTTTTGTATCTTTTCTAATTGTTCCAGCGCCGTTAAAAAATTGTTGTATTTTATTTAATAATAAACTTTCTCGTTGATTTAAACCAATCGTAAAAAATGATCTAACACGTCAACCAGTTTTAAGCTTTTTATCTTTATAAATTGTAACACAAAAACTAGATTCAGCATCAGAAAAACCAGATACAAAATCAGGGTTTAAATTACCAGGAGTTGCACTTTTTGTAGAATATTTTTTAATATTTAATTGTTTAGAAGGGATTTTAACTTGATAACTGCTTTCGCAGCCCATTAGAGCACACCTTATATGTATTGGTTTTTTAATAATAATTGATTTGCAAATATTATTATTATTAATAGGATCAACAACAATAATTGCTTTACTATTATTATTTAAATTACTAATACATAAACTACCATCTGCTCGTTGCGCTTTTACAGGTTTTGTTTTTAAAACAACCCCTGACTTAGTTCCGCGATTACCCATTTTCTTTTCAGGCATCTTATAACTTGTTACCATACCTGAGTAATTACTTCAGCCACAAATAACCTTTCGATTACTGCTTGGTATTATAAGCTTTAGGGCTTCCCCGGAGTTTGATAGTTTATCCCATAAATATGTTTTCCCAAAACACAAAACAGGTTTAGACAGCACTCAAAATTAAAAATTATCATTATTAAATATTAAATTTTCTATTGGATAGATTTCAGTTGGCTCGTTCACTCTTGCGAGCATTGACAAATATTCTCGGCTGCTGGTCGATACAACGAGGGATATTTCATTCCCACTGTGGTCATTAAATCTTTTGACTATGACTATTGATTATAGGCTTGGTGAGCCATTACCTCTTTTTAATTATACCAACTACCTAATCAATTTAGTAAAGATCCTAAAGCGGAAACATCCCTTTTTAAATATTCAACAAATTATAAAATAATTATATAAAGTATTTATTATTTTTAATCTCTAAAAACTTTAAATAATAATTTATTTAAAAATATTAAATAAATTATTATTTTTAGGGAACTTATTTACTAATTCTACTCACCCCTTCACTGTTTAAACAATTATTTAAACAAATTTGCATGCCTTAAAACCACTGATAATAAATTCTTCCTGAGCTAAAATTAAACTCTTACTATTTTTTAGAATAAAAAAATTATTCGTATTTTTTATAATATTATTAATTTTTAATTTAAAATTTAAT